GGACCTATGATGCGATTTCCAATAATACCGCACCAAACATTGATTTTCCATACATGTTGATGGTCTATTTCTCTCAACCGGTGAGGATTAACCAGTGACCAATGACGACAGTTCCAAGTATTGACAGATCCATCACTTTTAAATGTACATTCATCAGAAAACAAAATTTTGTGATGAAAATCAGGTGGTTGTTGTCTTATCCAGTTGCAAAATGCAAGTCTCTGATGAAAATCATTGTTATTCAATGCTTGATAAAGAGACATTCTGTAAGGGATTTATTTGGAGCAAAGATGCTCTATAATTTATCTAATAAATCTACGATGTGTGTATATACAGTCCCTTCCACGATTTGATACGCATCTCTTTCTATTTTGTTAATAATGATAAATTGTACAAGTTGTGTTTCTTGTACTAAAGATAGTAAATATTTTTTAAAATAGATTTTGACTGATCCGTATCAGCGGGTTTTGTGTTATTTATATCAGAAGTTAGTACATTAGTAAGAAATGATCTAGGTGCGTTTTGTCATTCGCAGTGTTTTTCTACCTCTAAGTTTTTCGAAATCTTTACAGCCCATTCGATGGCTTTATCTAAATTCTTATATTACGGTACTCCATTCGAGTAATAATGTTGGAAGGTAGACCATTAATAAAAGCTTCGAGGACTTCCTCTTCAACTTCGTTATGAAATCCGCGGGTGTAACTTTTCCCCTGAAACAGCCCTTCTCGGCTTTCAGAGTTAAGACCGCTATGTATGCATGTTTCGTTCGTTTGGTACGTCTTAGTTACATGCCTGTAAGTGAGATTTGCCGAAAATTCTCGAAATACATCAAGGAAATTGAGAAACAACGCTTCTCGGCTCACATTGCTAATATCGCTATGTACGCAAGTTTCTTTCATTCGGATCGACTTAGTTACGTGCCTGTAAGTGAGATTTGCCGAAAATTTTCATAACACATCAAGGAAATCGAGGAACAACGCTTCTCGGTTCGCAGAGCTAAGATCGATATGAACGCAAGTTTCCTTTATTCGAAACGTCTTAATTACGTGCCTGTAAGCGAGATTTGTCGAAAATTTTTTAAATACATCAAGGAAATCGAGAAACAACGTTTCTCGGCTCACATTGCTAAGGTTGCTATGCACGTACGTTTCGTTCGTTTAGTATATCTTAGTTACATGCCTGTAAGTAAAATTTGAAAATTCAATGACCATCTAATATAGCGGATCCTTAATTCTTCCCGCATATCATAGAATCGTTTTACTTGGCAATTTATACGCGTGCGCGCGTTGGCTAACTCGCCTCTATATTGTGCCATGGATTTATTTGGAGCAAAGAGGCTCTATAATTTATCTAATAAATCTACGATGCGTGTATATATAATTTCTTTTACGATTTGATATGCATCTCCCTCTATTTTGTTAATAATAATGAGTTGTACGAGTTGTACTTCTTGTACTGAAGATAGTAGATCCCGGGCACATTCGCACGCACGAGCAAATTGGAAGATTGAAATTTTGTATCCATTGAATGAAGGGATGTTCACAATTACATCTTTTAATTTTAAGGTTGGCATGGTTATCGGCGGTTCCTTATGTACCGACATATCTCTGTATTCATCATAAACCGACGCGGCGCGAGAAGCCTCATTCATCCGCTGTTCTAAGTTATTTACTTGCTCGGGTAGCCTACGTAATTGAGATAACTCCGTTTGGATTTGAAACAATACTTGGAATAGCGAATCTGCATCAATTGAGTCCTTGGCGCGTTTAGTTGTTTTATCACGTTCCTTTTGAGATATTTTGAATTGTAGTAATTTTTCGCGATTATATCTAAATATTTTTGTTTCTTTTCTGTTTCGGCATCCATATTTACGGAACTCATAGAGTGAGCCATGATTTGTATTTTAACTTATTTCTTATTAAATGATATAATATTTAAAATAAAGCAATATAATAACTCTATAAATCTTGTAAGGTAATAATAAAATAGTAATTATATAAACCTGTAAAAATATAGTATAATGTAATAAAATGGGATAATATAGAAAATCAGCTTATATAGAATAAAAATGATATAAAGGTTGTACAATATTATAAGAATATAATAGTATATTAAAATATGAATATGTATATGCATATAAAGAAATAAAGCAGTATAAGGAATAAATGTATATAAATTTGGACATATGTACTGTAGTATTCTTAGGTAAAGTTATGAATATTAATATTATTATAATTATAAATTAGCACAAATAATGTAGTAAATGTAATGAATAGAGCAGTATAACGAAATAAAGCGATTGTAGATACGGAATTTGGTAATAAAATATCGTAATTTGCTAAAATAAAATAATATAATTGCAGGGTAAGATAATATAATAAAGTACACATATATAATAGAATAAAATAATAAATAAATACAACATGTTCAATCGAACGTTGCACAACTTTATGTGTTTAATAGCGCGATGTGCAATTTCAACGTGTCCAATTGTACTGTGCGCAAGTGAAGGCTTTTCTAAATTTTAGTAGAATACTATTTTTTCAATGATGATACGTAAAAATTAAATAAATACATATACAGGGTGTCTAATAATAATCACCCCACTCGTAACGTGCAGGTAGAGGATTAAACCGAGTAGAAAAGTTCTATATCGTTTTGCGATCTTCGCAATAATTAATGAGAAATTAATTAAAAAAGATCGGCCAATTTATTGGCTTATTTATTTTAGAATTTAAATGTATTTTAGTTTTTTTAGGCCCATTCTACAATAAATCGTATGTCGTTAATCGTAAGCAAATTGACCAATCACAGTCGAATATTCTCGGAATAATCGACTGTGGTTGGTCAATTTGCTTACAACTAACGATATACGACTTATTATTGAACGGGCCTTAATAATAATAATAATCGATTGCGCAAGGATTCCTTGAACCGACTAATCAAAAAATTATTTAGAACTAGCTAGTCGCGCGGTAATAACACTCTAGAACTAACCTGCGGTTACCTTAGGCGATTTTTGGCGATTGTTTGGTACATGAACCAGGGTTGTCATTGGTAGGGGTGGAGCTTATTCTGGTACATGTACCAGCAACTATTTTACTAAAACTGTTTTTTTTCTATACGCGCCAAAGATAATTTACTATTATATAGAGACATGAGCTTCAAAGCATATTAAATACTCAAAATAAATTTAATACAAATTGATATGTAAAAAGCATAGTATTATATTTGGCGCGTATTTGCAACTTACCATTAACTAACAACATATACCCTGCTTCACTGTTCGGTATAGCGTGGTATCAACCAGGTAGATACCAAAATGGCTAGCCACGCCTCTACTACAAATTACTAAATACGCGAAAACATTCTGGTATACATTGGTATACGTTTGGTACATGTACCAAACGATCGCCAAAAATCGCTTCTTAAGAACAGACTTGCGAGCGAACTTTAACCTAATGAGCGATATTAATACTTTAATAGCGTTTTCGAATGTAGCAGGTTTAATCGCTCTGAGAGCGATTAATAACGTCATTACATCGTCTCTGCTAATAAAAAGCTCGAATTCATAGTAAAATATAGTGATTAGTTGAACCGGATTAGATTAACCCGTTCATTCGAAAACGCTATACCTTTAAGATTTTAATTAATCGTACAGACAATTCTTACGTAAACTTAAAGAATATAATTTGTTGAAAATATTTCCCTTTATATCTATTTGCAAATAATTATATATATAAAACTTTCAATATTGTTATCCGTAAATAGAGAGTTAAAATTCTGTGTAAAATAATATAACAATAAATATATGTATAGCAATATTATGTATATAAAAAAATAATATTCCTTTATTCTCTCTCTCTCTCTCTCCCTCTTCCCCCTTTCTCTCTTTTAAGAATGTTTTGGCTGTACGACAATAGTATAAAACTATCAAAATATTAAAAAAACATATTTCTTATGTCTATTGTTTGGAAAATCAAATAAATATATCTGGATTTAAAAAAAGAATTAGAAGTACTCAAGTTTTGCATAAATATTTAGAAAAAATAGTAGAACAATCTACGAAATTTTCATGCTTTTGTCAATGTTTTATGATACATCCTTAATGATACGATTTAACAGTACCATCAACTTATAAGGGCAAAACTTATATTTCATTTTGCTTGTTTTCTTTCGAAAATGTGCACAGAACTTTTGTTCACAATAAAGTAGGGGCTAAGACTACAAATATTGACAAGGTAAATACAATAAAAAAGAATATACTGCTATAGATAAGAATATATAGATGATCTGGTCAATGTATACAAAAGGTCTAAAAAGCTATTGTCTCGGGATTTTCGCCAATAGCATGTATATGTATAGCATGATAGTTTTCAGACATATTTTACTCTAGAAAATATTGTTCTATGGCCATTCTGAAAAAATGGATTCTATTGTTATTCAGAGAAAAATATATATCCCAAATAAATTTTTCCTTGTGATTCATCATGTCAGTTATTCACAGTTGTTCATAATTTTACCTTCATTGTGAACAGAAACTCTATACATTTTCGATGGAAAGCGTGTAAAATGAAATGAATCGTTGTACTTATAAGATAATAGAAAACAGATCACAAATGAGATAAAAATAAATCACGAAATATGTAATTATAATTTTTATAAAATTATATAACGCTAGAATGTAAAATCACAAAACAGATGAAAATTGACTTATTAAAATTCTATATACTTTACCGTTTATATTTTCAAAAATGTAAAATGTTAAAAATAAATTCGGTTTTTGACTCGCGTTTTTCTTTTGTTTCGTTTTTTTTTTGCGGCACGGACGTGGCTTTTTATGAGAATATAAGAATATGAGAAACGAAAACGAAAGAGCAAAAGAGAAAATAACGAGAAATTATCGAGAAATGGAATATCGAGCCTGAGACTGTATAATAATTAGAAATAAATGGACACGTTAAGAGACTAAGGGAGGTAGAAAGAAGGATTTCTTAATATTTTTTAATAATATTATTTACATTTTATTAATAATATTCTCGTTATACAGTGTTACATACGATTTTGCATTTCTGTTATATAATATTTTATATTTCTCCTTTTCTCTGCTAAGTTTAAGCATCTTAAAAATCTTGCATTTTTAAAGATAAGTTCTGGCTAATTTGATCAATATTTTATTAAAAACAATGATTAATCTTACAAATGCTCTGAGAGATGGCACATAATACGATTATACAAATATAAATTTATACAAAACAATATATATATAATTCTGTAGCAATAGCGCGATAAGTTTGTCATAAAATCAAAAATAATATCAATCAAGATTAATAAGGTTTTATTAGAATTTTTTTAATTCAGTGAACATGCAGAAATGACAGAAAAAGAAACGGAAATTTTAAATGACTTATCAGACAATTGTGTGTGAACACAATAATACGTGAGTAATTCGTATATTTTATTTCAAATTCGACAGTAATATTTCAGCGCAATTTTACAGTGATGAAAAGAGGATAAATATTATCAACAATGTTCGATCGATGAATTGTATGTTAAGTTGTAACTCGATTCTATTTAATGTTAAACCTTCAGTTAATACAAGCTAGTACGAACAGATATCTGTTCTCTTTGGATCGAGCTTGGTTGCTGTCTCACAGAGAAGAACTTTCGATTAATAGGGATGAGCTCTAAAATTTTTTAAATATAATGAACAGTTGTAGATAAGCAATCTTATAAGCGGAAAAATAAAATTTATATAATCTTAGTAAAATAATATAGTTTTAATCAATTATCCACGTTTGGCGATCAACGTTGACGAAATCACGTTATAATAATGTTACATTTTTCGACATAATATTTCTTCTCGTCAGAACGATTCTATTCGATATCAAGGAAAGATTGTATACAATATACCACAAGATGATGAAGTACCATCGCATCAGCAAATGCGTCATCATGCATCGAAAGGAACTATTTTCGAAAATGAATGACTGAAAATAAAGATACTAGAATAAATCGTGATGAAAAGTAACGCAATTTTCTGATATATTGGTTATCTACGAAAGTTCTTCTCTTGGATTCATAAAAAATTCATCTTTTGCAAAGCTAAGTCGTTTCGTAAAAGCAACATTATTCGCTTGCAAGACTAGAAGACCGTTTGTTGCCTGACATGACAAAGTACCCACCAAAAAAATATTGCACTTGATGCATCAGGTAGCGTATAAGTTTTGCTTCTCGTTCGAGTTTGCGACGAACTTTCTGATAAAATTCCGGTCGCGTTTACCAAGTTCCTGTACCAAGTGCTGAATTCAATGTAATTAAAGCGCGCAGTCTTGTACGCGCGTCTGCGAATCAAGGACATAATGATCTTTTTAGATTCGACCCTTGTGAGAGTCTGTCATTCACGTTCTAAGAGAAGAGCGTGCCATGCAATTTCAACGGAACTGCAGTTTGCCTAATATACATACATCCATCAAAAATCTAGGATCTCATACGAGCAAACTATATGTAGAAGGTTTGATTCGACGTACATCGCGTTACTACTTTTAAAGCAACATTGGTTGTGATAAAGAGGGCCATATATTTCGTGAGTAATTGATGAATTTTATTTTCAATTGACCGTCGATTTTTATCATCGGCGAATTATGATTTTGATCGCAATTCTTAACAGAGTCTTCGCAAACGGCGTTGGTGCGTCGACTGCATCTGCTTTAAGGAGAACATGCTCATCGACAGTCCAATGGTCGCGAGGAAGATTGCGGATGTCGCTGCGCCGCGATCAAAGTTTTTATTCTTATATAATACTGGGCCCGCCACCTGGAAGAAAGAAGCGTCATATTGAAGAGCGTTTCATCGAAGCATCTTTTTTTTAATCTTTTAGTTTATGGAAATGTAAAAAAAACAAAAGCAAAAATTTAATTGTATATATACAGGGTGTCCGACAAGTAAGTGACCAAACGAAAGGTGGAAGTAGATTGGATCAAACTGAGTCGAAAAGTCCTGAACCATTCTTTTTTATAACGCTTAATAAAGGAGTTATTATTGAGTAAAGTCTGGCCAATTAGCGCCGATTTTTAGCCGGGCGCACGTCGGTGAACCGCGCGCCTGGTAATATGCGGCAGCGTACACTTCACGGCGCGCGGCTCACCGACGTGCTAAAGGTTGGCGCTGATTGACCAGACTTTACTCAATAATAACTCCTTTATTAAGCGTTATAAAAAAGAATGGTTCAGGACTTTTCGACTCAGTTTGATCCAATCTACTTCCACCTTTCGTTTGGTCACTTACTTGTCGGACACCCTGTATATATATATTTTACTAAAATTTTATATGAACTGCATTTTGACTATTAAAATTCTGACTTTTTGAGAAGTTTCCTAGAATATTTAAAGAAAATTTTTCTATTTATAATATAAATGAAGACACGAATTAAGTTGATACTAATTAATGAATCAAATCCACAAGTCTGCATTGACATATCTTACCTGAGTCACTGACAAGCGGAAAGCATATAGCATGGAATGGCTCGGATGCATCTCGTTAATACTTTGTCTGTGTATCCTGAAAAAACACATATTCATTCATTTATTTCATTTTTTTAGCAAATTATGGAAAAAACACACTTCACGATTTAATTAGAAATACTTTCAAACCAAGTTTCAACCTCGCTTTATATTTTCTTGAAAATAAAAAAAAAATCTCATAAAAAATGCTCTGCTTCTTTGTCGATGTGCCACGTGGGAAAATGTGTTTAATTCAGTTTGACTGCGCGTCGATTTCGAATGATATATTTATATATATTATAACGAATAGGAAATACATGACGAAGCAGCGAAACTGTAAAGCGCAATATACATAAACACATGCAAAAAAAATCTCGCGTAAAACACGCTTTTATCGTGTCGCGAACAAATTCGTGACGTCGAAGCTCGTTTGAATAGATAATGAAATGTCTATTTTGCAAATAAAGATGCTCGTGAAATATGTTTTTGGATATAACAATTTCTATGTATAATATTTAAAATGTCGTGTGGAAGGAGCTATATATTTATAATTAGCAGAGCTGATTATTTTATATGAATAGTAGATATAAAAAGATAGTATCTTAAAATTATTCGATTAAAATCATTCCCTTATAAATTCTCTAATTTTAATGATTTTTTAAAAATATCATCATATATAATATTTTCTCAAAAATCTGATAAAATAGCATCTATTGAAACATATATATATACAGAGTGTCCTAAAATTACCGTACTTCCTTTTAATGGCAGATTCCTTAGAACATTTCAAGATGAAAATCCTAATACAAAAATGTCGAAATGACAAGTGAAAAAAGTGCTTCTATGAATGGAGCGCCTTTTTTATAATATTATGATTATCGTATAAATTTACAATAGCATTGTCATTATATGTTTTCCTGCTTCTCTACGCATTGCATTAGTACATTCTTTTTACGAATAATGAATGCAAAAAGACATCTCAAAAATGATTCAAGTAAAAATTTGCGACATGTTTCAACTTCAGCTGTCAAAGTGGTCGATTATTGTTACCATGAAGGTGTCTACTATTTCGTCGTACCCGAGTGCGCGAAATCTCAGCCTTGCCATTCATAAAATATAATCGCTTCCTGTTTAAAAGCTATTATAGCCTCGACATTTTTGTATTAAAATTTTCGTCTTGAAATGTTCTAAGGAATCTACTATTAAGAGGAAGTACGGTAGTTTTAGGACACTCTGTATATATATATATATACACATAACATCAAGTATCAAATAAGCTATTATATGAACATATAAATTTGCGTGATGTCATATAAAAAGTCAAAATATTTAGTAAAATCAGTAAAATCAATAATTTATGAAGATTAAAGTTTGACGTACTAAGACGGCTTCTCCGGAATATTAACGAAAGGAGGGTATTCACCCACATACAAACAATTACTCTATATGTCAGAAAAAATATTTTCTCGCGTCACAAGAGATATCAAAACTCAATTGAACTATTGAACTAGATTAGTCAATCAATCTCGCATTTTGATTTGATGTTATCATCGATTTATAAGTTCAGTTTAACAATTCCTGCAGAAAAAAAACTCGTTTGCGGCTGTTAAATTATTTTATAACGATTTTAACAAGTACATTTTAACGCCTTATCAACATTTGTCAAGTACACAATCCGTTCATCGTTTCTCTCGTATATAATCAACGCAAATAAAATGCACTGATTCAGTGTACGTTGCAAAATTCGTTTTATCATCGTTAAAACGAGAATACGAAAGCGATACGATTTGAAAGATAATGATTTCTCTCGCGAAGAACATTGTTATAAATAAAACTGTTGTCAATCACATATACATTGTCACTGATATGTCGCAAAGAACTTGAAATCACACAAGAATTTAATCATTGCATTTCGCAACTATAAAAATGATATGGCTATATTTAAAATGCGTACTGACAAATGGTGCTTTCGAATATAGCAGGTTCAATCGCTCTGAGAGCGATTAATGACGTTATTGCATCGTCTCTGCCAATAAAAGACTTGAATTCATAGTAAAATACAGTGATTAATTGATACGGGTTGGATTAACCTGTTCATTCGAAAACGCTAAAAAAATTGAGAAAACTCTCTATAGGTACTGAAAACGTGAATGAAGGCTTAAATTAAATTCATCCAACTTTCGTCTTACAGGCAAGGTGAGATTCATACACCTCTATTATGCAACACACTAGCGTTTGATTATAATAGAATTATTAATAAATCGGCGATTATATTACTATCAGCTGTTATCACGCGATTCTATCTTTTATTTATTATTCTTGAAATGAATAAGAAAAATGTCATCTGCTACACAATTCACGTGTTGAATCGCGAAGGAGACGCGAAGGTTAAATAATGCGACGAATACACGAATTCTCTTACACCGTATGTATACATACATTCAAAATTCTATTCTGTGTAATGTTTCGGAAGTTTGGCATTGAGCCTTCATTGTAGACACTGTATCTATTCCCGATGAATTTTACAAATTCTTTTTGTTAAGATATATTTAATGAACACTTAAAAAATATTAAGTAATTTGGAAGAAATAAGCCTCAGAAATATAAGCGTACAGCTAAAAACTTTACTCTGTGGCAAGTACATATATCAAATATAATTCTCGACTATTGTGAAATACTAAATCTAAGATCAGTAACGAGAAGGAAGCACGATATTTCTTGAATTATACTTTTCCCACGATGAAAATTTTTCCTCGGTGAACATGTTCCTGATCATCGTAGGACTTCAAACACGAAAGTTCGGGAATTAAACTTAAATTTAAAAAATAGGTTCTTCTATAATAACTAGTTATTCGAAAGAAAAATATAATAAAATATATCACCTCTGTAGAAAAAAAAAAAAGATAGAAACATGTGAGCACATGCATCTAATTGCGTGCATTCTATAGGAACCCTACCTCATGCAACATAACCTTATACGGTTGCTTCAAGATAGCACACGTGTGGACTTTTGTAAGGATTACAACGAATCGCGTCTGTCGTTTTTCTGTGTGAAATTAATTGATTCAATTAAATTCAGTCATTTTCTCATGTCGGTATATAAAATACACGCAATCGAAGCAATCCCTTTTTGCACTGCCTGCAAACGTGAAGGAATAAAGTTTTTTTTCTTTTTATGAATGGACTTTTAAATACAAAGCGCGGATAGCACTCGTTGCGTAATATGCGATTACGTGACAAAGGGCGAGTTGATTCAGTATATATATGTTGTTTATATTTAATATTATATTTAGTACATATAAGTATGTTAAATATATATTAGCCGTCAAGTATATATACGAGATAAATAAATTTATGAATATATCCAGTCTACATATGATCTTATTTGAAAAAATAATCATTAAAACTAAAAGAAATAAATATAAGGGAATAATTTTAATCCTCCTTTCGTCTACGCGTTCAAGCGTACTTTTTATGTTGTATGTGTGTGTGTGTGTGTGTATCATTAATTATTACCTATTAGATTGCCGGTATTGCGCTGCTGAAATAAACGTATCCCGTTACCGCATTATTTTGACTTAACACGCGAGGAACATTAGATTTAATAACACGTGGCACGAGTAATTAATTAATTTGACGACATGATTTCTGGAATACAGAGCGGCACGCACTCACGACTCACCTATCCTATCCGTCTCGAGATCAGCTGACAAAAGAGATGCTAGACGGAGGTGCACGCTAGTACTTCGACAGAAATACATTATATACCTAGGGGTACGATCAAGCCTATCGCTATCGCTATCGCTTAGCATTGTGCGATAGCCTTTACATTCATGTAGTAAAATGTTTGTGGATACCGATTGGCTGCCTTAACATTTCTAGAGTCTCTAGAATTCTAGAATCTTCTAACCAATCGTATACGTTCCATAAACAATTTTTTATATGAATGTAATCTCTCTTATTCTAAATTTCTTGTACTATTTTGTCGAATATACTGGGGGATTGATTGTGTATTTTAAAACAATGTGAAAATTATAAAAGTGAGTAAATTCACTAGAGTATCTACAATTTAATTTGTCGAAATCTAGTAAATCTGTTCTTTTGTAATTTTCACTTTGTTTCAAATAGCGTTTTCGAATGAACGGATTAATCCAACCCGGATCAATTAATCACTATATTTTACTATGAATTCAAATCTTTTATTAGCAGAAACGATGCAATGACGTCATTAATCGCTCTCGGAGCTATTAAACCTGCTACATTCAAAAACGCCAAAAGATACACTGATAGGGCCGGAGCACAGACTTTTGCATAAGCGCATAAGCATAAGCATAAGGAAATTGATTGGTCCATAAGCATATGCATAAGGAAATGGGCCAATCCTTAAGCCTATCACACACAAATTGGCATAGCTGCATATGCATAGCATAAGACCGTCTGGACCAATGAGCATGCTATGTAAATCAATATGGCGATTTTATTTCGATGCTCATTGGTCCAGACGGTCTTATGCTATGCATATGCAGCTATGTCAATTTGTGTGCGATAGCCCTTATGCATATGCTTATGAACCAATCAATTTCCTTATGATTATGTGCTTATCCAAAAGTCTGTGCTCCGGTCCATAACGTTTTCGAATGTAGCAGGTTTAATCGCTCTGAGAGCGATTAATGACGTCATTGCATCGTCTCTGCCAATAAAAGGCTTAAATTCATAGTAAAATATAGTGATTAATTGATCTGGGTTGGATTAATCCGTTCATTCGAAAACGCTATGATTGACTGCTATCGAAAAAATTTTCAAGAAACTCTCTAGTCGACAGCCAATTGGCGCGTCCAATACACCATGTCTAATATCCACTAGAAAAAATTGTTTCCTAGATTGTAGTTGGAAGAGACACCTTAAAATCACTAGAGAGTACTCTTTTTTTATTGGATGTAGGAATGTCATAATTGGACATTGTCCGAAAATTAGGATTTGGAAGCGGATGATTAGCCGTCGAATCTTTACAATTTTCAAAAGAGAGATTCCAGTAAAGTAGAGTCCTAAATAATCAAAGAGGCGACGTCGTTACCCCTTCCATGCTTCCCATGATCACCATGTTTGGCCCGCAGCTGTCCATTTGTAATCTAGAATATCTTAAAAATGTTTCAGAGATATTTAAAATGTTTTTTTTTTTTTAGAAAATAACATTACAAATATATTTTTTTCTTACTTACAGTACGCCGATTGCGGTTAATTTGCACGTAGGATTCACTACGGAACCAACATAGGGCGCATTCCACTTAACGACCTCAATGCTCGCGAGCATCATCTGTTTTTGTTTAACTTTCGGTGAACAACAAAGATGAAATGATACCGTGAGCGTTGCGGTCGTTAAATGGAACGGGCCCATGGCGGTCAGCCAATCAGCAAGCGAGACGCTATTGTCGCCTCTCTGATTGTTTAGAACCTATAATAAAGTAAATAGAATTTGATCAATCACGATTTATTCAGAGATTCATATGAAATCTCTTAAACTTTTTTCTGCGATATAGACGGAGCAAATGTAACACTGACTAGAAAAAAAAACTCGGAAAAGGTGACGTTTCGACAATTCAGCTTGTACACTTTGGAGCCCGACATGGATATTTGGATTCGAATCTGAAATCATCGAGATATATCTCGTAGCTCTTATCGCGATTTTGACAGGCTCCGGAGTCATCACGGCGACTACCGTCAATGCCGTCAACTGCTGTCGAATAGCTGTTGCGAGACTTGCGAGTTTGGAAATACGAGTCGCAAGTCGCGCGCGCGCGCAATAGCCCGGTGTGACAGCTCTGATTATCGCGGATTTCACCCCGGCCCGGTCCGGCCAGGCCAGACGCCTCCCCGCGCGCTCCTCTTCCTCTGCTCCGATCCGATAGGTGCTGACGTATACGGCGACGGCGGCGGCGGCGGTTGTCTCGCCACCGTGCTCGTCCATGCTCGTTCCTCGTCGGCCAGTACGTCGACACGTTCCGTGCGATTCGCGTATGGATGCACGCGATCTCTAGCGTTCTTTCTTTCTCTCTCACTCTCTTCTCTCCTCGACAGCTGCATCAATCGTACGGAGTATCCCGCGTAGAATGACCGATTCTGAAATCGAGATGCATTATACACCGCCGACATCGGACACCATTCTGACGAAGCCGTTCCCGATCCGAGGTAATGTATTTTGAGTCTTCTGTGCGATCCCAATTATATCTTTCTCTCTCTCTCTCTCTTCCCTTTTGTCCTCCCCGCACTCTTGCGATCAGACACGTGCGACGAACGTGAGTTCGTAGTTGCGTTTCGGAGGAAGTTCAAGGTCTTCGATCTCGCGGTCAATGTACCGGGTGTCTTCTGTCTGACACAATTATTACGCACACCTCCGCCGACCTCGGCTGAAAGTTCCAAACAGGAAGCGCGTGTCTGGCCCTTTCGCGCCTCCTACTAAGAAAACATACGAATCTTTGAAGCGCCTTATTAAAGGGCTCGCTAAAGAATTCGCTATATGCACTTCTGTCAGAAAGGATAGTCCTCTATTATTATGTCTATCTGGCATTTTTATTTCATTATCGCGAATAGCAAAAACCAAAGTTCAAAGATCAATCCATTCGATTTCTTATCGGAGATTTACCGTTTCCTTCTTAAATTATTATTTTTTTCTTTTTTTTTTTCGTCCAATGTCTCGATACAATCTCTACTTTAGATAAGCGGAGAAAAAAAATAAACGAAGAAGATAAAATTAAGTTATTTGTCTTACGTTAATTGCTGTCATCCTTCCGGAGGAAAACTTTGTATCGCTCGCGAACAAAACAGACAAACAGACTTGACGCGCGCGTGATAATTACCTCCGTTTATTCCACCAATAACCTTCAATAAACGTTTAATAAAAAAAAAAAAAATCTTTTTTTATTTCCGAGTATGACAGAGAGCCAGCGTCCTTCTTTTTGCGCGACGTAAACATACAATTTAATAGAGTATATTTATCGCATTCAAGAAAATAAGATAGATTTAGCTTAATTGTTCCGAAAAAGGTAATATATGCGAACTCATTCGATAAAATTGTTTCGAAAGAAAAATATATATAGATCCGGTTTCAAAAAACTATATCGTTAAAGCGACACATTTCGAGCTGATAAGATTATTGGTTGCTCAAATACCAATATTATTATCGCTCTAGTCTATCTTGATTATCCTAAAAGAAAACGGAAATGCAAAACCACAGATGCATCGTGGACTTGGATTCTTTCGATATCATTATTTATATTGATTATAGATTATCATCGATAACTATAATATTATGTTTTAGTAATAGTTATTACAATATTTTTAAAAGAGTTAACTTCAACGAAGTTCTTGGAGCTAATTCTTAGAATATCTTATCATTATCAAAACATATCTGAGAGCTTCAGATTTCCTTCGAGAATATGCGATTAAAATAAATAAAAATAGCGATGAAATTATACTCACATCTCACGTGCATAATTATCGTATAAAAGGTGTGAAATTAAACGGAAAACGATTTCGAGTTTTACTTGTTAGTGCCTGATTAGATCCAGTTTCGTAAGAGAGTTGTAAGAACCGTCGTTGTGCATTTAAGCCATTTATAACGTGATGTAATGTCTTTAACAAAAAATTTAAAATACATATTTGCATGAATTTGTATTAAATTCATATACATATAGATAAGAAGCAGATAAATAGACAATATTATAATTAAAAAATAATATAATTATTATTTAGTTATAGTTATAAAATAATTAAATTATCGTGATTGATGTAATACATATGATAACGATATCGGCTATAACTTATTCCGTGTTAATATTCGTGTATGATATGTATATTTTTCTCAGTTTTTAATATTTCATCTTTCTTTCTGCAGGTGAACGTGCAAATTTCGTGAACAAGCCTCATGTGATCGCGATGGTCGGTCTGCCAGCTCGTGGCAAGACCTACATTTCCAAGAAACTGTGCCGATACCTCAACTGGATTGGCATCAGCACAAAAGTCTTCAATCTTGGGGAATACAGGCGACACGCCACCACGGCCTATCAATGCCACGACTTTTTCCGTCCCGATAACATAAAGGCCATGGCAATACGGACGCAGTGCGCAAAGGACGCACTGAACGATGTTTGCCAGTGGTTGGAGAGCGGCGATGGTGAAGTGGCCGTTTTCGACGCCACCAACTCCACGGTCGAAAGACGCCAGCTCATACGCGACATCGTTGTCTGCAAGATGGGCTTCAAGCTCTTCTTCGTCGAGTCAGTATGCAACGATCCGGAGATCGTCGAACAGAACATTATGGAAGTACGTGTTTCAAAGATAGTTAGAAGTAGCGGCAATTGATCGCCAATATCCCTCTTCGTGTTTGAAAATTAACTATTTAGTGCAAGTAGACAATTCATATACCCAAGCATCACATATACAATTTTTCTATCGCGTTTAGGTGAAGGTCAGCAGTCCGGATTACGCGAACATGAAGAAGGAGGATGTGCTCGCGGACTTTATGCTGCGAATCGAGCACTACCAGGAGCGATACGAGCCGTTGGACGAGGAGCGTGAGAGCGACCTGTCGTTCATGAAAATATACAACACTGGCGAGAAGGTGCTGGTCCATAAGCACGAAGGCCATATACAAAGTAGAATAGTTTACTATCTTATGAACATTCATATTGTGCCACGCACGATTTACTTGACCAGGCACGGTGAAAGCCTGATGAACCTCGAGGGCAGGATAGGCGGCGATTCGGACTTGACCGAGCGGGGACACGATTATAGCAAGGCATTGGCAGAGTACATTACCAGTCAGAACATACAGGTAACCCTTCTGCAAATTTTTCAATTCCTTCTGCAAATATTTCTTATTAGTTTATTAATGTTACACTTATGTATTGTGTAAATAATATATTCTATAATCATATTCCCCCTGTATTGTGTGAAAGTTTGTAGTCTGATCGTTTCCTTTAAGTAGTACCAATTTTTTCAATAATATAAAGATATATCCCTTAGGAAAATTACAATTTGTTACATAAGCAATATATGCTTCACAATCAAATACATACATTATCCAAGTATTATTTTATTTGTGTGTTGGCATATAGGGTTTAAGAGTTTGGACTAGCTGGCTGAAGAGGACCATTCAGACTGCGGCTGATGTAGAGGCACCGCAAGAAAGGTGGAAGGCTCTCAACGAGATTGATGCTGTAAGTTAAAGCGTATTGAATAAATTAATTCTAATTGATCAATTTTTTATCTTTATATTTTTCTGTGAATCATCTCAGGGTATTTGCGAGGAAATGACTTACGAAAAGATTGCCGAGAAATATCCAACCGATTTCGCTGCCAGAGATCAAAACAAATTCTCGTATCGATATCCAAGGGGGGAGAGTTATGAGGATCTTGTTGCGCGGCTGGAGCCTGTGATAATGGAATTGGAACGTCAGGGTAATGTTTTAGTTGTAAGTCATCAAGCCGTTCTACGGTGTTTGCTGGCTTATTTCCTGGACAAAAGCGCAGGTCAGTATATATTTCGAGATATTTTATGAAACTTATCCTTCCGATCGCTTTTGCATACAAAGAAAACGATTCAAGTATAATTGCCGACACTTGTGTGATTCATAAACACTCGCTTCCGAGAATATAGATACCGAGATATCGACACGCTGTATGTAACTTTTGACCTTCGTATTGAAACGTGTCGAGAAAATAAATGATAAACACTCATGCATGCAAGAACGGATTATAATGACGTAATTATTCGTGCCATCGTGTCGTCAAGCAGTTTGTTTTCGCTCGCAAAATCCTGTTATCGGCGTTATGCGATTTCTTTTTCTGATATGAGACATTGACATTGATTTGCGCGAGAAACCTGCGTATGTAAGATGTCTCGAACATATTTCTTCTTCTAAAAAAATACTGTTTTATATAATTAGTTATCAAGTTATTCTGCTTCCATTTCAGACGAGTTACCATATTTAGAAGTACCTTTGCATACTATCATGAAATTAACACCAGTCGCTTACGGTTGCAAGGTGGAAAATATTCGGCTACCGATAGAAGCTGTGGACACTCATCGGCCAAAACCAAAGGTAGAAATAATCATAATAAAATCATAATAATTTTGTCCCTCCCTCGCTTTACTAAAAGAGATAGCAGAAGCAAATATACCCTCCACTGTTTGCTTGCTAATCTCTCTCCCACACTATACCAATAAAAGATTTGAATTGCTTATGCATTGCTTATGTTTTAATGTTCCCAGAGTGCCTGATACTGTTAGCTGTAGTGGAAAAATGGACCATTTTCTTATATCTAATTGAAACTTCATCTTAGAAACATCTACCTTCCTCCAAATCAAATTGCTTTCATGAATTAGAGATCCGTCGCATGCATTTCTTAATATAGATTCTAATTATAAGATAAGCGCACATTACACTCGTGTGTCTAATACTTCAAATTTTTCATATTATATGAAATTATGTTGTATAAATCATGCAACACATTTTTCTCCTTTAAACTGTAAATAATATTGTTTGTATAATCATATATTTTTGGTAGAAGTTTTTAATGTGTATTTCTAATTAGCAATGCCATTTTTTGCAGAATAGCATAAGTATCAATATTGTTAAATCATTGTAAAATCATGGTACTAATATTATATATTAAGCTTGTTCACTCACAGCGATACAGCAATAATTATTTAATTTGTACTTGGCATTGTGTAATGATTGCAGAATTATGCAGAGACTGTTAAACATACAATTTCAATTGATGCAGGAACGAGCAAATTGCAATCATAGATGATAAAATTAAATAATACATTCCTAATATATTTTAAAATATATTTTCCTATAAGGTATTTTATCTTATATAATAAAATACTTTAGCAGATAAAATATTACATAATAATGACATTACAACAATTTGATGAAAGATTATTCATTAAAGATCAAGATTTAAAACCATTGCACCAGTGTGATACTAATTGTTTTAGCTTGCCAATAAAATTTTGCGATAAAGTTATACATTGTAAAATGTGTGTATATCCACAGTAAAAGATAATATCCTTCTTTACACTACGCATGTGAAAATTTTCTTTTTCCGCAGTGCATATTGAAACACTAAACTGTCCGTTTTGAAACTTTCAATTTTCAGATCCCGGGATATCTAGAAGAACGATTCAGAGGAAAGGGGAAAGAACTATGCACGTGATAACGACAAGCTTTTGTGTAAGCACGGCGCAGCTAATTCCTATCTATCTACGTTGATATACCGGAATGCTGAAGAAAAGCATAGATTCCGGCAGCTGGCTGCCACCTACTCCTCCGCGTACGTCGAATCAGCGCGCACATCCGAATCCTTTCTTCCTATGTGTCAGACAACCTAGAGACAAGATGCATCTAATCAACACAATTGACAATTATATCCTCTTATGAGAAACGTGTAGCCACAGATGGAAGATTCTGTGTGACGATGCAAGTTCTGCAGAAAAAGAGAAAGAGAGAGAGAGTATGCGTGTATTTTGTGATTTTTATATTTTTTGATTGGCGCGTGTTTAGGTAAGTAGCAAGAATACGTAATGTGATATCGAGGTGATGAAGAGTTTAATGTAATTATACGCCTGTAGACGTGCATCTCTCTCAAGTGATATTAGTTCAGATATTGAATTTTTTCTGAACTGTTATTATTAGCGTACGACAAGCGTAACTCGTACGCGTACTTTGATCTTGCTTTGAAGTATTTGCCTCTTGCTAGAAGCATATCCACGAGACAATATACATATGTGTATATAGACATACATGAATAAGGTTCCGAGGCATGGTATATTATTCTTGGTAAATATTTCAAAGCACTTGTTCGCGAATTTGAAGCTGAAAACAAATATGCTTTTATATACGTATATATCGTTTGAAACATTATTTCTTTGGAATTATTTTCGGATCAGTCGAATAATGTACAGAAGAGCGATTGGAGCCAAATATTGTAAAACTGTGACGTTGATAATAATACTCGACTATGTAAAAAAAACTATCAAAATATAATACAATACATTATAGATTGTGCGATATAATACACTTCCAAGTAAGCTACTGAATATGTACAATTTCAATTCATTTTATCTAATATATATCTATACGTCGCAATCTCTCAGATATTAAATAGCTGAACTATCAACTTCGTTTACGCCGATACGTATGTATCTCTCGATCGATGAGAAACTTATAATAAACAATACAATTTTATGAGTTCATCTACTGGTTTAAAACTATCTATTCGATGGATTATTTATTTGTTCTATTAATTGCATACTCTCTATTTTTACATAAATATATATGAATATATATCTTCCGTCTTCCATCAGTACATATATAATAAATATTAATATAATCTGAATTAGTAAAGCTTTTTTCTCACTTTCAAACACATATTTTTTTTTGCATAAATGCTCTTACTATAACTTGGGCAAAGATAAAATGTCTCTGATGATAAAATTGAGAAAGAAAAATGTAATATTTTATATACTTTCAATTTTTTCCCTCGCCCTAAGAATTTGCATTTTCAAATTTGGTAAATAAATAGATAAGCGATTTTTTTATTAGTTTCTAATAGACTCGTCGTCCGTCAGATGGCGCTCAGAAGTTGGAGTAAACAAGTGGGAGAGTTTGAAGATACTCGAGAGAGAAATGCCGTTGTGCTGTTTGAATTGAATATAAATACTTTAGTATCAATTTTTCATATTCGAGAAATATGCGATTTCAAGTCTATCGCGATGGCGTCTACAAATGAATTCGGTCCGGATTCTGGCGGTAGAGTGAAGGTGATAAAGCGTTACACTGGAACGTTTTGGCGGCTTAACCTATGACATTTTGATGCTAAAAATGACAGAGATTAATTTAACATTAATTTATATCATTAATTGTTTGTCAACAGGGTGTTACCATTGTCAAGCCTATAGTTTATGGCAATGTGGCACGTTACTTTGACAAAAAGAGAGAGGAGGATGGTCATACGCATCAATGGACTGTGTATGTCAAGCCGTATCATAACGAGGATATGTCTACTTATGTGAAAAAAGTGCATTTTAAACTGCACGAGAGTTACAATAATCCTAATCGAATTGTGACCAAGTCACCATATGAATTAACAGAAACTGGCTGGGGAGAATTCGAGATAGTCATTAAAATCTACTTTCATGATCCGAATGAACGTCCCGTAAGTGAAAAGCTTGTCGCAAGATTAGAAAAATATATTATGTATTAGCTATTACTATTTCATTAATAAATAGCTTAAATAGAGACGTTATAATTTTAGGTAACAATATATCATGTGCTGAAATTGTTCCAATCAACATCTGAAACACAGTTGAGAAAAGAAAGCTTAGTTTCTGAATTTTACGAGGAGATAGTCTTCCAGGACCCAACGGCATTGATGCAACATTTGTTAAATTCCAGTAGACCTATGACTCTTGGTGTTTGGCGGCATAATACAGACTGTTTGTATAACAGTACATTATTTCCAATAATTTTTTATTATAATTGAATAAATTTTGATATTTTTTACTCTTACAGTCGAAGCAAAGAAAGAATCTACAATGAAAGACATTCTGGAGGCACGCAACAAGATAAGACTAGAAGTGATAGATCTCAAAGAAAAATTGACATTGGCAAAAGAAACTATTGCAAAATTTAAGGAAGAGATTGCAAAGATTTCTAAAGCTGGTGGAAGTTTATCCGTTGCGTAATAATATTGTTACAAAATTGAAATCAAGCAAGACACAAATTCATATTGATTGTTCCAAACAATACAGACTTACCCTTTTTTTTTTATATTTGTATAAAGTGTATATAACTTTCTAATTATAACTGTAAATTTAATGCTAATTCAATTATAATTGCATTTATAGTTGCATGCAAATTGTAGGGCCGTGAAAAAAAAAAAAAATTGTAGGGCTATGACAAAATTTCGAATCAATAAAACTCGTATGATTCGTGAATATATCTTATTATATCAAAATATGTAATAGAAGTTTTTATTACAAGCATACATATATTATTAAAAAAAAAAAAAAAACGAGAGAAATCAGATGGTTTTCGTCCGCATGCGCTAAGGATGATTATTAAAGATAATTCTAAGCTACTAAGTATGATAAACGCGATTGTAGTTATCACGTGTTCAAATACATGGAATGTGATGTAAATTCCAACAGAGTTAGTACATAGTTATTTGAGCTCGATATAAGTTCGCGACACCGGCGCCGCGTCCGATATATGTAAGCCGTATGTTGTGTTTGCGAGATTGCGTGCGTGATACATAACGTGAAAAGCTGGATATCCACTCTATCCATTTCCTTCCGAGAAATGAGCACATCCAACAGCGATAAAAAAACGTAAGTCTTTTTCCGATCGTCGCCGTTCATCCGTATTTTCGACTCGATCCGTTTGTTGCCTAACTTGTTCACCAGTGAGACGTGATATACAATCGTTACATAATCGAAATTGTATGGTAATGAGGTTGGATCTTGTCTTGTCCAGTTGATGCTATTTGAGATCATAGGTCAAAACTGGCCAGTCATTTTGTTGCGACTACGCAAAGTGCGATGTGTACTAGACTTATTTAGGTCGTTCTCTCTTCGATCGATGTAGAGAGCCGTTATTTCCATAGCAAGAACAGTGTAAAGACTGATATCAGAATCTTTTATTTTTAATTTTAAGTTTCTTTTAACGGATTTATAATTTAAAGGCCAATTATTTAATTGTAAGACTGATAATATGCGATCAACGCGATAGACATTTTTATAATTGTTATTATTAATTATGTCCGATGATTTTCGGGAATACAAAAAATTGATTTGAAATAAAAAAAAAAATTCGAAAAATTTTACTATGTAAAATTAATAATTAAGATTAAATTAAAAATGTTTTAAAATTTCGATCGCGACCCCTATTCTATGTAAAAAATTATCTCTTTCTCTCCTTTTCTCTCTTTTAGAAATTAATCAAGAATTAACTATAATTACATAAAAATAAAAGTACAAAAAAATATAAATTACAAGAAAATATAATTATATGAAAATTACATGAAATTAAAAAGATTATGTGAATAAATTTTTCAATACTTATACATTAGGATAATTAATTTTAGATAAACTGTGGTAGAAATAGAGTTAAGATTAAATTTCGGTGTATATTTAGAATTATCACACATTTGATTCTCTCTATTCCCATATAGCACAGAACGTTGCAGCAACATTGCAACATTGCCGCAATGTTGTAATGTTGCTGCAACGTTCTGTGCTGTGTGGGTTAATGTTTATCCTTAATTATAATTATTATTAATCTCTATTAATGTTTATCAGGCCGGGTGTGGAATTCGCGATCGGCGCCTTGGCGGCTGTAGGCGCTGGCTTCTTCACGAACCCCGTGGATGTAGTGAAGGTACGACTGCAGTTGCAGGGTGAACTGGAAGCGCGCGGTTCGTACAAGAGGATATACAAAAACACTGCGCACGCGGCATATCTCATAGCCAAGCACGAGGGCGCGCTTGCCCTGCAGGCCGGTCTCGTACCCGCCCTCGCTTTCCAAGTCGTGCTCAACGGTATTCGTTTGGGCGCGTACAAATCCGCACAGAGATACGAATTGATCGTCGACGCGCAAGGCAACACCGATGTCCTGCGGACCGCTTTGGTGTCCGGCGTCGCCGGTTGCGTCGGCGCCGCGCTCGGCAGTCCATTCTACTTGGTAATCCTTTCACCTTTTTCACTAAAACTGTAATGCTTTCAATTCATTTTTTCTTTCTTCAATCTATATGAAACCGACAATTAGTTCATCGCAAGATAAAAGATTGACATACATACAATTAATAATATTAATACGTAAAGTATGAACATTGAAAATTAAAAATTGAAAAGACAACTCAACGCTCTCGCAAAAATGTCGATAAATACATATAAATATCTTTGATTTTTAATTGATTTAATAAAGATATTTAGGATTATAAATACTTTTGTGTCTAAAAATGTGTAGTTAATAAGGACGCCGCATGTTTGTATACGTGAATTACATCGTTTAATTATTCTAGGTCAAGACGCAGTTACAAGCGCAATCTGCGACATCCATTGCCGTGGGCTATCAGCACAGTCATTCGGGATCGTGGGACGCTTTTAAATCTCTGTGGGCGGAAGGCGGTGTCCGGGGACTATATCGAGGATGGCAGGCCGGATTGCCGCGCCTGTTCGTCGGCTCGTCGACGCAGTTGACTACCTTCGGATTAGCGTCCGATTGGTTACGCTCGCTGGATGTAAATAATATTTGATCGCCATTATTAAATACCATCCTCCTCACACTGGAGGGAAAAAGAAAATTTTTTTATTCTTTGCTTATTCGTATAACAACTTTGACGAGCAACTAAAGGAAACAGAACAATCACACAAAAGGCCTGCTAATGACGATTTAAATTTCACGAATAAAATTTGTATGTTTAAAAGTACTCCAATTTGAGGCAGAAAGATTTAAGAGTAGTTCCCCAGTGTGAGATTCGTGGCAACGGAGCGTTTTTAATTTCTCTCAGATATTTCCAGATCGTCCGATATTGTTGACCTTCTTGGCCGCCGCAATCGGAGGCAGTTGCGTAGCCGTTGCCATGCAGCCGTTCGATGTTCTGGCGACACGGTTGTACAATCAACGTGAGTATGATCACATATTAAAACTACTATATTAACAAAGGCCACGCTTATGCTTTAAATACTATGTCAATGAATGACACGCAAAATTCCAAGTTGATATAAACGTTCATCGAATTACAGATTCGTTCGTAAGGAACGTAAAACCTATTAATCTTACCCGATAATAAAATACTCTTTCATATTGCACTGGCAATCAGAAGACGTATCCGCCTTCGCATAGGCTATAACGATAACATTATATTAACTTGGTACGCGTGACTATAAATACAATGTAGTATGTGTACGTGTGACTATAAATACGATCTTAGTACGTCTCACTATAAATATGTCTCAAAGCTTTTAGAATTTTATGCAAAAGATTTGATTAGAATCTCAGATATTTCCAGATCGTCCGATATTGTTGACCTTCTTGGCCGCCGCAATCGGAGGCAGTTGCGTAGCCGTTGCCATGCAGCCGTTCGATGTTCTGGCGACACGGTTGTACAATCAACGTGAGTATGATCACATATTAAAACTACTATATTAACAAAGGCCACGCTTATGCTTTAAATACTATGTCAATGAATGACACGCAAAATTCCAAGTTGATATAAACGTTCATCGAATTACAGATTCGTTCGTAAGGAACGTAAAACCTATTAATCTTACCCGATAATAAAATACTCTTTCATATTGCACTGGCAATCAGAAGACGTATCCGCCTTCGCATAGGCTATAACGATAACATTATATTAACTTGGTACGCGTGACTATAAATACAATGTAGTATGTGTACGTGTGACTATAAATACGATCTTAGTACGTCTCACTATAAATATGTCTCAAAGCTTTTAGAATTTTATGCAAAAGATTTGATTAGAAAGAGAGAGAGAGAGAAAGAGGAAAAGCTTAAAAGTTGAAGAATCAATATATCGCGTTTAAATCGATAAATTTTTTAATAGCATCACAAAGCACATTTGATGCGTTTATTTTTATATTTTAAATATCGTAAATTGTTTGTTACGCAAATATAGAGACAGACGCAACCGGGAAGGGTGCCTTGTATAAAGGACTCGGAGATGCGCTTATCAAGATATTTCGTACAGAGGGTTTGACCGGCCTATACAAAGGAACGTTTCCAACATGGATGAGAATAGCGCCGCATACGGTTTTGTGCTTGGTATTTTATGAGAAACTGGATCAATTATACGATAAGCTTAGAATACGATGAGTACTAGTGTATTTTGGAAAAAATAAATTATATATTTACTCTAGATACAACAGAAATAAGAATTTTGTAAATAAGATCTTTCAAGAATACAGAACATTAAATATTGCAGATCTGTTTGGAATAAATCGATGTCATAATTGGGCAGTGATTCCTTTTAATATCGTGATTGCAATATAAAATTTATAATTGTAGACGCATGTACGTCGAGATGTATAAATGTAAAAATCTTAGCCATGTATTCTAATCGTCTCATCACATGTATAAGATATCATTTTATGCTATTATTTTCAATATTCAAGACTAGAGAATATGTACAAATAGCCATATGTATAAAATTTCTTTGCAAAACACATACTTGGCTCTTGCTCAAATAAGTTATATATAGTCCCGGGATATAGTCATCGGGAAGAATTATTTACAGATTGTTTGACGTGAGATTGAATGAGAATAATGCGCGAATATCATTCGTATCGTGATGATTTGACGATTCTGTTAAAAAACCGTATAAAAAGTACCTAACCGTTATGTAAAAATACTTATCAAGTTACGTGTTAGTTAAGTGTTAGAGATTTACGTAGCCAGCGTTGCATTCGGTCTCGATTTAAAACCTCGAGTCATGGCTGCCGCTATATTCGTTGTGCTTCGACCTTGTGTTTCGGGCAAATAGACTCTGTAATAAATATTTTACAATAATTTGATTACATCACGAGTAGAAAAAATTGCGAATTGGATCTATGATGTAATATAATTACGTATATCGCAACTACGTACCGGTTGACTTGCGCTAAGATCAATGTGACTCCAGCGAAGATTAGGAAAACGCACGGGCCGATCGCGGCTTGTAGCAAAGGAAATAGCATGCCGACGACGAAATTTCCTCCCCAATTAAACATGCTACCTAATGACATAGCGGCAGATCTAGGACCGACGTCGAATAGTTCGGAACCGATGAAAAACGGTATCGGACCGAGACCGATACCGTAAAATGCAACGTACGCGAGTACCGCGACGGTACAAAACACTGGCATGACCGGAGCTGTTTGCTGTAGAGAGACGAATCAATTTTAAGACATCTTATCCATATCATATCAAAATTCCATATTATTTCAAATTGTTTTAAATTACCGAATTTGTATTATTAAAATTATAATATATATAATAATGAAATTTTTATATTTTATATATATTAACTTAATAATATGTAATGAAAATAATTTATTCATATATACTTACAATTAGTATAATAAAGATGCATAGAGCTATAAGGCATCCCATGCATAGATAACAGCTTAGAAACAGTACTTTCCTTCTACTGAATAAGGACATTATCGGCACAGAGATAATTGCCATGAGAATGTTTGCGACGCCTGTGCCTAGAGTCGCGTACTGAGCACCGGTAATTCCGAGACCAGCTCCGAGAAATATTGAATTCGAATAATAAAAAACTGCGTTAATGCCGGAGAGTTGCTGGCCGGATTGCAATAGGCACACTAGAAACAACGGCAGTCTCACGGTCGGCTCTTTTAGTACGCGCTGGATACTCCATTTCTCGGTTGTAGTTCTCATCGCCAGTTCTTGTTGCAAACTAGTAATCTCGTTTTGTAAAAGCATTATATCCATATTGCGCAATCGCCTGAGTGCTAAAAGAAATTGGAATTCAGAAAACTCAAAGTCAAATATAAGTCAGTTGGTGGAGTGATTAAAAGTTTAAGAGAATTTTTATATGGGAATCAGAATAATTGCATACAAATATACTCGAATGGTCGTTTATAAAAGTTATACGTACCTTTAAGAGCCTTCCCCTGTTCTCCCCTGATTATGTATAAATACTTTGGACTTTCCGGCAAAGCGATAGTCACTAACAGTGCAGCGACACATAGTGGTGAGAAAGACGCTAACATGATGTGCCAGGATTCAGGAGTACCCAGGACAGTTTTTAGCCCAGCGACTTGACCCATCAGCACGCCGGAGGTAATGCCTAATTGACATAAAACCCCAACAGCACCCCGTAATTTTAAAGGCGCTATTTCTGTCATGTACATCGGAAGCAAGGAAGTGGCTAGACCACCGGAAAGTCCTACGGACATTTAGAAACGCTATTAAATCTTGAACATTCAAAAATTAAATTGAAGGAATAAAGGTTTTTATGTTTGCCCTCACATTTTTTCAATTCGATCCCACAGATATTGTATTCTCGCTTTAATTAGCCCAGTTAAAAAAAAAAAAACCAGGTTAAATCATGATTTCTCGACTCACCAACGATCACTCGGGCAATAAGAAAAAATTCGACCGAGTTCACGTGTCGTACAAGCAAGAACAGAATAGCTCCTACAATTCCACAGATATTGCCAATACTCAGGGCACCTTTCCGTCCGAACCGATCGCTTAGCCAGCTAGCGATTAAAGATCCAGATACACCACCGATTAGAAAAATTGATACTATGGCGGACCAGAATATCTGCAGCTCACGGTTGGACAATTGTACATTATATCTTTCCCTGATGCTATCATTGCAGAAGGATTTCATAAGCTACAAGCCAAGAATATTAATAATATAAATAGTTTCCAATAATATTATGCGTTTGATGAAATCACAAATTGAAATGTTACAAACATCAGCAGGATTATTCATAACACCTATGTTATATCCTGCTGGTAATGCTGATCCCAGACAGCAAGTGGCACCACCCAATACCAATAATGGGGTCCAACCTCCTGGATCGGCATCGCGCGCATTGTTACATTCCTATGAAAAAAATTAATTAATAGATTAGTATTTATTTTATATCACAAAAAAGTGTTCATTTCTATCTTATCCTTTTTAAGCGAAAGGTGAATGGTTCATTACGCATAATAAATATTTTTATTTTGCATATCAAAAACAATATAACTTGGAGAATTTTTTAATTCTTACAAATAGTAAATTAGTGTTATTAATATTTACGAGTTCTCTATACTTAGCGATATAATCATATAACAAATGGTCAAATTAATCTAATTAATAGCAAATACAAGAATTATATCAACATAATCGGCAGATAAACATAACTTGCAGCGTCTGTTGGTACAAGTTTCAACATGGCAATGAAGAACTGAATTCTGATAGTTTCATATCATGAGCCAATTACACAGTGGAATCTTCAAATATTCGCTTTATATAACAATCAATAAAAATTGCTTAATGCGGAGTATAGTTACATAGCTAGATTATATCAATGTAGAGCAAATATTCTGGAATAGTTTAATGAATATTGCAACTATCATTTTTTTTCTTTTGCTAATCTTGCAGAATAACATTAAATAAGAAAAATGAAAAAAAATATAGAGCAATCGTGCGACAATTTCCGAAAAACAATTTGTAAAATTTCTCAATATCAAATAGCAAATATACCTGATATCTTTATAAATGGTAAGAGACTTCACCAATCTCTTAAAAAAATTATGATATGAAAAAACAGAAAACCGTACCGCTCATATAATTAAGCATCGTAAGCAATATGAAGTGTGTTGCACCCTCGTAGACCAATCAGTGATAACATGGGAAAGCCAGGACGGAATGATGGAACAAAATTCAATAAAACCACACACCATGGACATACCTGTAAACTGTTCAGATAGCCAACCATGCATTATTATGAATTTATTTTAGAAAATACAGTTAGTTATAACTCAGATTGTTTGTTTAAGAGCACTCAAACACTTGTATACATATATCACAATAAAATACTCTTTTTTTTTCTTTAATTGATTAAGAATCAAATGAACTATAATATCTATGTCTGCAACGTGTATATATATGTGTGTGTGTGTGTGTGTATGTGTCAAAATATCTGATTCTAATAAAACTTCTACAAATATATTACTATATTCTACATAGACATTTCCTGAGTTTGTGAGATATATCATTAAAAAACATGCATTGATATCATGAATGTTATATTAGCCAAGCACACTCTCTTGTTAGCAATATTTAAATATTTTAATCTCAGCATTTTCTTAAAATATATTTCATTCATATATCTTTTTTTTAAATGCTTGTTACTTTATCATACACTTTAAGATTCCATTATTGAAAGGGGACGCAAGTAGCATATCTCAATAATTTAGTGAATCTCTTATATATAATGGTTCACAACCTTAAGACTTTATTAAATAATCTTAGATTAAAGCAATATAAATTTTAATTTAGTGAAAAAATATATATTTTATTATCATATTAAAATATTATATAATATATAATTAGAAATATATAATTAAGAGAAAAAAAACATTTTTACCAAGATTATAAT